GAATACATGAGAAGAGTTTTGACTGAGCAGAAGTGCCTTGCGTTCCATTCGTAAGTTCGTTTAATAGGCTACTATACAACACCAAGGTGACCCTTTAGGCTGACCCAGGAAGATGATCTAGGCCGAAGGTAAATTTTGACCTGACCACTGCAGGTAATTTTAAGAGAGAAGCTATTTGAACCTTCACCAATTCTGTGAAATAAGACTAGGTTTATCAGCTGTTTGTAATTTACCGTAGCCACTCAGCTTATCATGATCCACTAACTAGTTCGTGAAAAAGAAATTTGTTAGCTGTTCGAAAACTATTAAAGCTTTTCTTTTCTTCTCATCTATTCAGGTGACCAATTTCCACTGGACGATGGTGAGGCGATAAGAGGTAACACGAGCACCTTTGGACTCAATAGAAAATTGACACTTACCTGCCCAGCCACATTGAACATTTCCTTGACCACTAGAGCCATTGTCTTGTGGTCATACGGGAAACCTCATGAAAAGACAACTACTGTTGTTGGTAAGCTGACTCTACCAGATGGAACCAGGAACATGTCTGATCTTGGAGACAAGGGATGCTTCGGCATAACTTATGAAGGTTCCCTTGTCCTTAACAAGTGCTCTCAAGACAGTGACGTCAGATACTGGTGTCATGTCTTTCCCGATGGTGACGTGGTCGTCAGATCATACCAAGATTTGGTATCCAAAGGTAATTTACTGGCAAAGCTCCAGTTCACTTATCTGACAGGCACTGTGTCTACATACAGCTGTGTTTTAGGAATAAACAAATTGCTTCGATTTGGCAGACTTTGGGTCTTACCAACTGTATCAATGATTAGATAGACACTGATCAAATCAGAAGTTAATCAAGTTTACAAATAACGTGCCTCCACCAAGGTACGCTGCACATTTATCGTAAAGAAACATTTGACGTCTCTTTGATTAAAAGAGTGCCCAAAACTATTGTTCCGCTTTTAAAATTGTCAGAGGCGGACGTTTTTTAAAAATAATAACTCTAAGGTGCAACCGCATCCGTGTCGAGTATGAGGTTGTGGGTTGTCGATGGTTTTACAGAGATTCATATTTTGGTTTTGCAGCTGTTGACAAATCAGAGCCTTTCAGCGTTGTTCTCATGGTAACTCTGTGCAGTTTCATTGCCATGATCATCTTGGCATGTGTTTGCATTGTGAAATGGAGGAGGTTTAAACCACTGCCACATTCCGGCCAACGGATTGAAGAATACATGAGTGTTCCAAAGATGGGTGAGTACTGCCTGCTTTTCCATTGTTTCAAACCATTATACCTCTCATGTAAGAGGAGACTGGAATATACTTGGGGAGGTTTTACAAACTTGAAAGTTGCATTACAGTTAAACAATTGGAATTATGGATTGTGTTACATATAATTGTAAAACAATAGCCATGACATTACATTACATGAGATGTATTTTACTGAAAGAACAGTTTTAGTAGGCTAAGATAAGTGCAGTCTGCTTTCACCCTCTCGTGGGTTTATTTAGAAAACGTACCTGAGGAACAAATTTACATGTAATGTGGCCAACACATCGTTGCACATTTGGTCAAACGAAACCGCATTAAAGATTACTTATCCAAAATTCTGATTTCGTAATATTTTTACTCCAAATTGAAACTGGAACCCCATTTCGGTTAATGTAAAATAACGTGGTTTACCAATCATTCTTGAAAGACATTATTATAATTCGTGTTTATATTTCTCTTCTGCAGAGGATGATTATCACTTGGACTTAACAACGTTGATCTCAGAAGTCAAAACGTATGTGAAAAAGGAATTGAGTATACTTCCTATTACGCCCTGGGCATGGGATGAAGTAGATAAGGCAGACATGGATGGCCTATATACCCCTCCAGACCTATTTGTCAATGTTCACTCGCAGGGTGGTGGGGTAAGGTACAAATTAAAATCAGAATCTGAACTATTTACTGATTGCATCTCCCACTTTGCGAGCGATCATGTTCTCATCCAAGGCTTATCAGGTAGTGGTAAGACAACTTTCGTGCACAAAGTAGCAACTGACTGGGCCTTGGGGAGAGAACAGACGCTGCTTGGAAAAAAGAAAGTTGTCTTTGTTTTACCCGTAAAGATCCTCACAACAGCTGGAAAAGTGGGCGAGGCTGTTGTTCAGTACATCCTTTTGAAGGATGCAGAAATATCGGCTGACTCAATCAATAAATATTGTAAAAGGAATCCTAGTGACGTGGCCATCGTTGTGGACGGATGCAAGGGTGAAAATGACATAAAAAATGTCTTGAAAATCATAAAAGCTAATGATCTTCTTAAATGTCAGCTAGTGATGACCATAAAAGATGCGAAGCCCCCAGGTAAATTGTGTCAAGAGGAGAAATTGAGGTGTATTACGATCACGGGTTTCTCCAAAGCAAATGCTGAAGTTTATGTTCAAAGACTCCTACAAAAAACTCCAGCACTTATCCGCACTTCTCAAATGATCGGAACAGCTTCTTTTAAAGGCAGCCACGAGAATGTGGCGAAAGATGAAACAAATTTAGATGATAGGGCTCACAAGTACAGTACCAATGGCAGTGCCTCCTACGCTGGGGCTAAACAAACAGTACAAAGTTCCCAGGCAACTGAGTCATCTCCACTGCCGACCGCTGAAACAGAACTACTGTCGCAGAACTCTTGCGATCTGCAAGAAAGCGAAGTCATCGGCGAAGAAAAAAATACCAGCAAAAGCAGTGACTCGCCACAAATTAAAAATTTAGAAGTGGCACAGACTGGAGACGCTGGTGACTCATCTAGCAGTGACTCTGAGGCAACACACCAGGGTCATTACTCTGAGGGTGCATCTGCCGGGACAGATCAGAACAGACTTCTTGATTATTTACAAGCTGGCTTTCTTACTGCTGAGGTGAAATGTCTGCCAGTTTATCTGTCAGTTCTTTGTCGGTATTTCTTTTTGACAAACGGTAGGGCTTTCAAGGAATTTCATCCTATGGGTAGCTTGTTCTTTAGGTTGATGAGGCACATTTTGAATACGAGTAGCTCTGGCGTGTTGAAAAGAGGTTTAGGTTTTAGGTGGATTAAAGGCAAAACAAGGGTTGGATACCAGACGAAATTCACAGATGATCAGTTACTCTTGATTCAAGGACTTGGAAAAGTGGCATTCGAACAAATAGAAAAATGTGAAAAACCAATCACATTTAATTCAGGAGATTTTGAGCAGTCAATTATCAACTTGGCTAAACAAACAGGAAAGCTCAGCTCCGATGATCAGGAGCTTCGTGACTTGGCACAGACTTATCTGAACGGAGCCATTAAAATGGGAATTCTGTGCCGCACCGAACAGGCGCTTGCAAAGTCTGACAACGACAGAGGAGCACACAAGGACGATTCTTCAGAGTCCCTAAATTGCAGTGTGTCTTTCGTTTTAGAGATATTTGAAGATTTGTGCGCCGGAATCTACGTCAATTTGATCCGTGAACAAAAACAATTGCTTGTTGGAAAAATAGTCGATCTTTCTGTCCATGATCCTAAAAAAGAGAGCGCAATTATCTTTGCCAGTAAGAATCAACACGGGATTAAAGTAACATTCGCCGAGCTTGAAATTCAACTCAAACGTCCCATGAGAAGTCCGGGGGCGTTGGCAACTGCCTTACGGTTTCAGAAAATAGTTAACTTTGCTCTCCAACTGATTTTCGAAGGTAAGCAGAAAAATGATCCAGACGAAATGTTGCATTTTCTTGGACTGAAAGGAAAAGTCTGCCTCATTGGTATCTCCAGTCACAAGATTCGATGTCTGTCGTATTTTCTCAGACATGCTAAAAAGTCTTTCCTAAAGTCAATAGAGTTATTTCGCATCGAGAGGGATGCATGGCCCAAACTCGAAGAGTATTTTGACCGTGTTGAGCCTGGAGTCTCAGAGAGCATTAGGAAGACCACCTATAAGACCCAACTGGACCCTGAAACATCAAAACAGGTACGTGAAAAAGTGCAGTCAAGCAGCAAAGACCTGCCTATGTTTCCTTCTGACCAGTCGGATACAAGTGTCCTAGATACCGTCCAATTGTTTGATCTACAAGAGCTCGTTGAGTCTCAGTTTGGTGAATGTCATTCATCCAGTGCAGGAAGAATTTTAGTTCAGTCTCTGCTTCGTCATGAGAAGCTTGAAAGTATCGTACTTAATGGAACGATCCTCAGTTCAGAGAACCTGTTTGCTTTGGTCGGCGGAGTTAACAAACTCAAGCATTTGCGGCAGCTAGATCTCCGCTTTAACAAGGAGTTCGATGACGACGCTTTCAGACAGGTAGCGAAAGCATTGAACGGTTGCAGATCTTTGATCGACCTTAGGTTATCTCTGTACAAAGTCACTGTGAATGGATTTCAAGAAGTTGGGAAGGAAATGCAAGCGTGGAGAAGACTGGAAAAGCTGTACCTCCTGCATGGCACCCCGTTGAACTGCTTTGTGGAGTTCCTGTCAAACAGTTTGCGATACTTTGAGGGGACCAAATGCATCCATATTTCATGCAGAGACACAGGAGAAAAACTACCGTGTGCCACAGCAGATACATTTATGAGGACTGTTGATGATCCACACACCTTGCCTCATCTTAGAGAGCTTGTCATTTGTAACATTGGGGAATTAAAGCAATGGGCGATTCACCGAGGGCTCCAAGGACCACAGTGATAACTCCACGGCTTCAACGACAACAGGCCTGACGCCTCAAAGTTCCCGAGTCAACGTGGATGATGATGAATCCATCGACACTGCGGCTAAGGCACTGGAGTACTTTCCGAAAGATTCCTGTGGAACTGCTGCAGAGTCAAAGGTATAGTCCAGAATTAACTCTCTAACATTCTATAATCATTTGCATTTTCGTCAGCTTTGAAGTGACAAACGAAAGCATTACATTTCTTCCGTCTAAGTGACGACGTCATCGAGTTATTTTTTTAGGAAGGTAATATTATATTTAGGAGGACACTGCATTGAATTCAACTAATATGCACATGTAAAATATATTTCATGGCATTTAAACTGCTACCGTTTTCACAAAGAGGAGAAATATCAAACAAAAATGTTTGCATTACGTAGCAATGACTTCCTGGAAATAAAACAAAACTAAAGGTGGCTTATTGATTAATAGGGCTGCTGATGATAAAGACTTTCCGAATTTTGATAACCAGAATTGATTTCAGCAGTGACAGACCCGATCATTTCCAGTAAACGGGGTTCATCACAAAACTCAGTAAAAGATGTCAAGAGTAAATAATAGCTAATAGATGATAATGAGAGGTTGCGCCAATTCAGTCTACATTGACGTTCTAGGCGCTTTACCAAAGATCATAAAAAAAACTTGTTACAAAAATTAAATCAACAATTAGCAATTTACGAACGAGCTCAACCAAAAGAACCATTACAGCGACATTACACCTACAAGTTTGCAACTTGTAGGTGTTAATACAGAAATCTCACCTGCAGATGGGAATCGAAGGCCAACTGCCCCATACGCTTACAAAAACAATTAAATGATAAATGGAATTAAAAGCTAAAAATTGCAGACTTCTGTACACCATGAAACTCATTGTTTTTTCTGTATGTATCGATATTATTCTTCAAGATATACACATGGTTAATAAGTATTATTTGGAATGTTCGAACCAGGCGGTTGAGGCACAGGGAAAGGTCACAACCTTGTCATTAAGGAAAATTCTGGTTATTTCTGATACGGATAGGTCATGCTTGATTATTAAAGTCTGGTAATGAAACCAAGGATTCCTCAAAAGTGCCTTAATTAGTCAGTGTAGATAAAGTTTCAGTGGTGGGAGGAAAACCCCAGGAAAAAATTTTGGGTAAACTCCACAAAATTGGGTAGGGACTGAAAACCCCAATCCACCTGTGGACCAAGCCGGGAACCGAACCGGGGCCGTAGAGGTGAAAGGCGTGTAAAGACGTACTACGCAAACCTAACTCCCCGACCCGTCATCCACAAATTCCGAGTAGAAAAGCGTGTGTAAGTGGAGTTATTCATGCTTTAGTATCATGGATCTGATTTACGCTGTATTTTCATTTGACAGACTAAATTCCCTTGAAAAAGGTAATTTGCGTTGTCATTATTTAGTATTCGTCATCTGGCCTTCATTTGCTCTGAACAATTCCTCCTGGTTTCTACGATAATATTCTAGAAGGAAAGAAATTATATTTTTTTAATTTCTACAATGCTAACCGGTGATTTTTTTAATAATTATTTTGTTTTTATATTTTGATAGTGCAGATATTGAAATTTGACGTCTATAGTTTGGTAATCAGATAATATAGAGTTTTCCAAAAAATCTTGACTAAAGGGCAGTTTTATCAAGTAATTGTCTTTTTTTATATCTATACTTTTTTCTAACGATTTAATCATCTTCAAAGATCATTGGCGGTCCCTTGCACGGTACGATGTACGATAAGGAAAATATGATCAGGATTAAACCAAAGAGAAATAAAATGCGAGTTTTTTAATAGCACGATTCATACTAACCACCGCCTGTTATATTTGATCAGAGAATAGAAATGTTTGACTGTACAAAAATTAAAGCCAAGTTTATCTGATATGAATATTAGAAAGAGGATACTATTAATATAAATGTGTAGATGTGCGTGTAGTCTCAAGCGCAACATGTGACATTTCTCGGATTTTTACTACCCACAATTTTCCTGTTGTCACCACCATACTATTACTATTTTAATGGGGGGGAGCTGTTATTGACATTATTACTTTACAATATCACATCACAAACCATATTCAATTTTTATATTCAATATCATAAACATGCAATTAATGGCTAGATTTTGTGTGGTATCCATAAGACTCAACACAGATAAATCAGCTGTTACACTCAGTGAGAATAAAGGATGTTTATCATACATGAAACGATATCACAAGGAGGAAAACGGTGGACAGGTTGCAGATGCATGAACGCTGTATTCCTGCCATGTACAAATATCCTGACTTGATACAGGCGATAATTAAAGAGAATAGTCCGCCTTTGTGAACAAACATTTATTTTTCGTTGTGAGGAATTCTACCAATTCCCTTGCTAAAACATTTTCACATCTAGTATATAACGAGTGTGGACACCTCCATTCGGCCCACGGAGTAGCATAATTGTTCCACATATATATCACTGTTGCACCGTTTTAGTATCTGTGATGTTTACCTAAATTAGCTACCTACGTTTGCAGTTGTATACCTACTGAAACAGCATTTGCACAACTTCGATCATTAGTGTGAATAATGTAGTAAAAACATGCGATCATTCACTAAAGGGTATTAATGTGATTTCAAGAGTTAGATAGAATTTCAGGCTATTCATGTTGAAGGGACGGCAATAGGTGGAAAAGCTTTCGGATATATTCCTTCGCATGGTGCTAGAGCAAGCCTTTCCACCTGTTTCAAGAGTTATTCAGAATGTTACAATTATAATGGATTTGAAAAACATACCGTCTTAAATGAAATTTTACATACATTTCATCTGGATCCAAGCACTTTTACTTCCTTTACTTGTAAGACAAAATACTGTTCAGTATTGCTGGGGAAAGCTTACTCATGGAATGCCAATTTGAGACTTCAAGTGCATTTAAATTACAGATGATCGAAATTCATTGAAAGGAAGAGTTATAGTTTATGTTCCCTAGATAATGTCGTTTTTCGTAATTTTTGTGTCTTTATATATCTGTAACATTACAGATTTCAGTGCATGTGAATTATTTTTAAATTTAAGACATCTATTAACGTGAAACTATATCAAGATGGATCCAGCAGGTCACTGAGGCATATCAGTTGGGCACAGGTTGGGCGGGGTGAGGTGGTCGAGGGTATGGGAGACCCATAGGCAAAACTAATTACGTCCTCTTATATATAAGTAGATAATGAAATTTTTGTACATAAATTAAATCACAGTTAGTTAGCTGATTTGAATATTTAAAAAGAGGAAACTCTGAATGTAAATGTGCAAAATTCCTCTGTTTGGTTTTTATTTTGCCTTTTTTATGTCATGAGCATCACATCATGCTTTTGCAGTTAAAAATCATGGAGCACGCTCCAGTTTTTACTTTAGAGTATCATGTCTTAAGTCATACTCTCATCATAAATGGCTTTTACCAGGAGTATGTTTTTATTCTGCATAATAGTATGGGAAGATTTCAACTTTTTAAAGCCTATTTTTCACTTTTGTCGATAATTTCAAAACTTACATTTTTGTTGTATTATGTCTGTCTATTCATGTCATAAAAATGCAGTTAAAGACTACAGTTTTTGCTTTCTGCCTGAAGGTTTGCTCTTATCCTTTGACTAAAGCTTTAAAATGCGATTTGAGATCTAAACCTCAGCGTATCACCAGCGAAGGATCAGGAGCGTATCAAAAACAAAGCACAGCAATACGGAAGAAACAGCCTTATATAATATCATTACAAATGTAAAAACATAGAGTTTGTTTCAATAGACCCCTGTATTAATACTTTGTTGTTGTTAACCTTAGACCCCACTGGCTATACAGGGAAGTGCATACATGTAGGCCGACGTACACAAAGCTCGCACTGTAGTCGGTTCTATTCATACGGCAGGTAAATAACTTTCGGGATAAGGTCATATTTTTGTGTGATTCTTTGATTTTCAGTACGATTATTTGTCTTTAACAAGTTAATTTTGCTGTGAACATTTTACAGAGTTAAGCAAGATTTAACTATAGTATACTGAGGTTGGTATCGTGAAAGCCAACTATACGTTGTAACGAAAAGGAAGCACAAAATATCCACCGTTTTAGAATTATACTTTTGGAGTGTTTTGTTTTTGCCAAGCAAGGTGAACGTTGTTTTCCTTCGTTTCATTTTTGACCCTTTTATTTCTGTGTAGACTATAATCTTATATACTCTTAGCAGGGAAATTTGAATGTCTTACTATATGCATCCTTTTCGTTACTTGAGATAAACGATGGCCAGGTGGTAATGATTGACGTCTTAACTAAATGGCCAACGAGTATCCCAATGGATTATTTTCAGTCTTGAACAAGCATGTTTCTGTGGTATGAGACGCAGTGGGGACTGTTACCGTGTTAATAGCATGAAACCACCTTCCTTCCACTGGGAACGCGTGGATAACAAATGTTTCTGATACTCAAGAGATTCAATAAAAGTTAAATTTGTTGAAATCTGCTGCCTCGCCTTCTGGAGTATTAAATTACAAAAAGTAGCGATATGCTTTTCTGTGTACTATACGTCAACTATCCTAGAGCATAGAATGATAAGTGCATGAGATTACGTTTAATGCAAATAATCCTTTGTGGAATATCCTTATTAACATGGACGATAAATATGGACGAGGAATTTGTTGATGTTGTTCTCTCAGTTGTCATCAAACTGGGGTTGGATTTCACTCAAGTTCTCGTAATGCAATCGGTCAAAGGACAAATAGGTCTGAAAGAGAAATAAAAAGAGAAAGCAAACAAATAAGGTCATTTTGTTGATACAAATTCTGCGTGCACAATCTCATTGCTATTTTTACTTTCAAGTCCACAATTTTGAAACTTGAAGGGTTTCAAGACTGCGAAAATCCAGCTGGTTACCCACAGTGACTGTTAGTGCGGACACTCTAGAACAGTTGGAAAAATTGTCCTAACTCCGAAGTAAAGTGGTTCAGGAATGTCTCTAAGACTAATGGTGTAATGTCACAACCGCATTCACAACTCACATGCTTGATTTTAGTGTCATTAATCTCACTGAGGGTGGAGACAAGGTCAGTAAAAGTTGGTCGGTTTTTCGGATCCTCTTCCCAGCATATGCGCATCAGGGAGTAGCTAGGAATTAAAGCACAGAAAGAAATTAGTGGCGGTCGATCTTTTGTTAACTTGAGATCGTCTTCAAGGTTTCAGGAACAAGAAAACGAAGTTAATTATTGGCCTGTACAGGTCATCAATTTACCACTTAATACCAAAACACTACACTTGGGCTAGAAGCCATTAATTAAAACGCTTGTCATTAGTCAACTAGCAGAAGCTAATTAAGACTTGGTATGAATACATATTAACTTGTTCATAGAAGTCAGCAAGGCCAAATTGCTGTCTATAGTCTGAAACGTAAATCCAAAATCTTACCTTCTTTCATCACAGTTCCTCGGTTTGGGCATACGATATCCCCTCTTCAGCTTCTCATGGAGCGACTCGCTTGGAATCTTTGGATATGGGGTACCCCCTAGATAAAGTTGAATTGAAAATCCGTAGCACAGAAGAGAAAATCTTTTGTGTCATTTTCCTTGCGATAATTCGATTGTTTTAAGAAGTGAGGGCTTTCCAACTATCATTTTTCTGTCTCATTTGATTAAATGCAGTTACAATTAAGCATTGTGAAAAACGGAAGGAAAGTAGAAAGTTAAGGTACATTTCTTACCTAATGTGGCTATTTCCCAAAGAACAATTCCAAACGACCACCTGTTGATGAAAATGTGGTCAGCAGAATGATTAAGAGGAAAACAAGGAAAGCGTGGAAGGATAGGATCGATCTGCATGAAACTGAGAAAATCTTTGCGCGAAAAACTGGCAATATATTAACAATTTCCTTTTCGGTCGCCAGATTTTTGGAGAGTCACGCATAGGACAAGAAAAAAGTTCCATGAACTTACACGTCACTCTTGCTGGTGTACTCCTTGTATCTCAGTGACTCAATGGCCAACCAGCGGACAGGAACACGTCTCTGAAATTGCACGATGTGCGATGCAATATGCCATTACAACTCTAATGCTAAAACCTGGTTTCCTTTCATTTTGTCCCCGTGTGCTAACACACTTAGAGCCTGTTTTCTTATCTTTCCAGAATTTATGCTATAGCCTACCGTGCATCGTTTATATGGTGATGCCTGACTGGTTTTGTTCCATGCATCACATCAATTTTTTTTAAACTTTAGCTTAAAGCATTTAGATGTAATTCATCAGCCCCAATGGCATTACTTTGTAAAGAAGTTTTATTTAGCATTTATTTTATATACAAAAATAAGAAAGTTAACCTCTTTTTCAGTTTAGCATTGCTGACTTGTACATTAGGTTAAAAATTGAGTAAAAACATGGTTGAGAGATTAGAGATGTAACTGTATCATATAAGTTACCGCCGATGTCTGGACATAGATGTCCTCTCCTCTGGACAATCCAAAATCAGAAACCTTGGCAATCAGCCCTTCATCTAGAAGGGTGTTTCTGGCAGCTAAGTCTCGGTGGATCACCTGTGGAATTTGAAGCAGAGAAAGGTCACCAATCATTAAGTGTTCAGAACTGATAAGAAAAATGCTTGGGGGAAATCTGATGTATAATAACAGGCATACCCCAAAATTTTGTAAGTGCTCCATTCCCTTGGCGACATTCAGGGCAAATCTGACCAGCTGTTCTGAGGACAAGGCATCTTCATCTGAGTCTGACTGTGACCGAGCTGTCCGTAGGTAGCTGCGAAGATCACCGTGTGGAAGATACTCCAAGGCAACGTACAATACATCTGATCACAAAAATCACAAAACATGGATCAGGTTCACTGTGTCTGCAGAATCACGGGAGTACAACGATTTCTTCATCTTTGTTTTACTGCTGTAGCATGTGTTTCTTAATACCTTGATGCTGGCACGCGCCCAAAAGAGAAACGACATTTGGATGGTGACCAATAGAAGTCATTGTTCGTAATTCGTCCAGGAAGTCCTCTATCTCGGTGGTTGACGCGTTACCTGTATTGAGGGAGAATATATTTAAAAATAAGGGAACATTGTGACTTACTCAACGTATAATTAAACGATACAAAAATGTTTGCGAAGGTAGGCTGGGGTAACCTTTGAGCCTCCTGATTGCAGACTTGGTCCTCTCTCCGTCAATTCTCACAGATCCTGATCGCACCTCACCAAAGTTTCCTCTGCCGAGTATTCGATCATCAACGGTGAGGTCGCTCCATGGAATCTTCCATCCCTCAGCCCATGAGGGTAGATTGTCTTCCTCCCTGAAGATCACTCGTGGTTCCTCGCACGGTAAAACGTTGTCATCATCATAGTCGCGCCTATCAACGTGAGAACAAATCTTGCCTGCGTACTTGTGTTTAGCTTGAGATGAAATTCTCTCTTCGTATTGATGTGTAGTCACTAATTTGTTGTCGTCCTCAGACGTTGTTGGTGCATTATGCTGCGGCAGTGCATTGTCATCATCCTGCTGTTCATCACACCTCGGCGAAATTTTGTCCTCGTACTTATGTTCAACGTCTGATGAAATTCTGCCCTCGTAGTTGTGTAGAGCTTGAACTGAAATTCTTTCATCGGATGGACGAGGGTCCTCGTATGAGGTAACATGCTGATAACAAAAGACATCCGACTTAGACACGAATAAGTACTTCACCTCCCATTGATAAAAAAAAATTACCTGCATCTAATACTCTTCTCTCCACTTAATATCAGACAGCTTTTAGGGAATTCCTAATACAAACCTATTAGGCTTAGGGAATCTAGACACCTTTCGTGTTCCAAACATTGTTTTTGTGCAAGGTGCTTAAATAGTTGATCGGCTAAGGATAATGAAAAAAGAGATTTTGTTTACATCACTTTGAAAAAAATTAGAACTGATATTGATGTTATGGTGAAATTATTTTGTTTGTAATGAAAAAGACCAATCTCTTTCATTTTGAGGATAGTTTCAGACACCTGGACAAATTTCACCGTCATGTTTTTAATAAACAACTCCGCTGAAAACATTAAACCATTCTCGTTCTTTCTCCACGACGTTAAAAGTCTCCATTGCTGAAAAAGATTCACTACTGCAAGGCTCACCATGTCAACAGGTGGCTGTGTGAGTCTACAGCTCTGTACAATCTGTGCTGCCCTGTGCTTCCTCCATCGCACAGCAAGAATCACAATCAACACGACTGCAAGCGTACTAATTGCACCAATCGCTGCAGCTGTTGCCACCAGTCGACCTACTCCGCTCTCCTCTGTATCAGCTGATACGTTTGTACAAATGAACAAGAAGCAAGTTAGTTTACAAGCAAAGATGATGACAGTTCTAATAATAATCATATAAATGATACTTTGTCATTTTTTGGACAAGGTTCCAACAACCTAGCTTTTGGTTTTAAAGGCCCATGTAATTATTTCATGCTTTCCTTTTGAGCACTTTTCAATTTGTGTGAAACCGCAGCAATTTTCCAAATAGCGTTAGGGTGCTGTCAACTTAAGTAGAATAGAGTGCTACAATAAAGATAGTTTTATGTTGAAATACGCTAACTTTCAATGAACTCAGTAATTTTCCTCAATTTGTGAAACGAGAAACAATTTATTTCAGTTGACTTGAACAAAAAGGGCGCAAACCATTTTGTAAAGTTTTCTCTCAGTGGAAGGGGTTGCATGCACCACCTGTACAGTTTTCGAAGCGTTTCAAGATTCCAGCACAAAATAACCGAACTGGCAAATGACACGAAATTCGTTGTAATTTCGTTCAATATGAGCTCCTATTACCTGAACAAGGCTGAAGATGCACGGTGACTGTCAAGGACTCTCCTCGGATGCTAGTCGCCTGACATTGCAGACTTTCGGTGAGGCCACTGTCCCTGGAGTTGGTGACCGTAAACCTGCTGCTTGCGTTTGTTAAGCCGCCTGTGCTGATGCCAGCCAGCTTCAAAGAGCTGAGGACTTTCTCGGAATCACCTTTAAACCAGGAGAGGGTCCACTCGTTCAACCGTATGTCACGGAGGGTGCCTTATACTATCTTCCACTGTAGGTTACACTGAAGTGTTGAAGGGCCACGACCATTTTTATTTGATATTTGAAGTTGTGAGAGTGGCAAGCAATTCGGTAGCGCCATCTGAAATGTCACTCAGTTTTTTGTTCACGTGTCGATTTTTTGCTCTAAAACAGGCCTATATAGCTCGGCATGTGTAACTCAGACAAACGTACAAGCAAATCTAGCTGGTTAAACTCAACTGCGCTGTGTGGATTAGTTCCTGACCTTTCGTATTCAGAACTTCGTCGATCAGGCGGTCAGAAAATGTTACCACGTTAGCACTATTTTGAAGATACATTTTCTGTTCACACACATCACCTACAGTTCTGGGAGTTTGCTTTTAAGTTTAGACCGTCCGAGCACATACACTGAGTTTCAATTTAATTTTTTGTGAATTTGGTGTATGTGAGGTCTTCAACTCAAATTTATGTTNGCGAATACATCTTGGAATATGAAACCGGGAGCCCAATGAGATTAAACATGCAATGATTTTGAATGCAAAAGGCTAAAGCTTGGAATATGTAAAGCAGTAACTGAGGCCATTAAGAAATTGGATCATAGTATTGGTTGTAGGAGATCCTGTGAGAGTATTTTGGAATGCATTCGCACAGTGTGTCTTTACTTTAGTTACTGTGACTTATGAAAGTATTTTCCATAATGCAGGCAACATGGTCTGCTTACGACTCGAATGCACATCAGTGTTTCTCTTCATATCATTTGGATTGTTAACGGCGCAGACCAACGTATGCCCACCAGACTCCGGTAAGAACTGGTTAACAATTACATAAAGTAACTCCAAGCAGGAATACTCAAGGTTTAGCTTCTACAGTTCACTTGTTTATTACGAGGATGTATCTGCGTCTCATCTTCAGCACTTAACCCTCAAAGAGCCTGGGGGGGGGACAGAATCTGCCCCATGTTGATTTTTGCTGATAGCATCTGCGGGATTAATTTTTGCATGCTGTTACTTGATGAAATCTTTTCCAATGCATTAGCCTCATTTTGACCCCAAATTTATGAAAATTGGACGTGGCGTTCTCTCTCAGTGAAGAATTTTATGAGGCAGGGTGAAGTATGATGTGACATTTACCATTGACTTTGTACACAGAAGTACATCGTACAAAGGGCAGAGTGGTTTCCCCTTGTCAGGAAGTCTCTTGCTTTGCATATTACTGTATACAGCTCATAGCATCTCTGGTTTCGTTTCCGCTCAATATACAATCCATGCAGCATCTTTGATGTGAAAAATGCAACAAAATCGTCCAACAATCGAAAGAAGATAAAAACGGTATGATGAATAATAAATGAGTCATAATTATTCAAAAACTTTATTAATTTCACACAGATGATTAGTATGTATGCCTCTGTATGATTGCTAAATTTCATTGAAATACATCATCGTATGGCTGAGTTCTGAGGGAAGGACAGATTCCCCCCACCCCGACTGTGACAAGGCCAAAAAAACAGCTCTTTGAGGGATAAGGCACTGATTTCAAGAAATAACTCCAATTGAAGTAGTGAAAACTCTACTTTGCAGTCACAACCAACTGTCATGGAGCATAGTACATGATGTCTATCAGAGAACCAATAAGTATAAGTGAGGCTCTTGATAAGGAAAGAATAATGACTAACTACCAGAAGTACAAAACCAAAAGCAACTTTACAATGCAACTCATGTAAACCACACTGTTACATGTACCGGTAAGCCCGAAAACGCTAAATGAAATTGTGATTATAAAGCCACAAATAAAAGGTGAAAATGTCTCCCAAAATCCACCCCATGAAATCTATGATATAAGGAATGGGACGGTGAACAAAATAGATATGTTCAGCTTTCATCACATTACGTCTAATCGAATGCCGCTTCGAGCATTTTCCTAAGTAAATAGTCAAGAGAGGGCGCTAGACCAACCTTACGCTCGTAGTTCATGTCACTGCACTGGGAAAAGTTATTTTCAGAAAATGGTTCGTCTGAATTATTTTTGTCAAAACTGTCGCCGGTTGGGGTGTTCATTGAATTTTGCGCGGAAAATTCACTGGCTGGGGGGGGGGAGGTGTTCGCCACTATTTATAACCTGTTGTTGTCTTGTACATATAGAAAACATAACACAACGTGCATTTGGATGGTTCAACAACCGCGCTTACCTACAGCAGGGCATTTGGTACACCATTGCCTGTCCAACATTCCGTCCTGGAGAAAAACTGGATAATGTGGTATGGCGCAAAAGACCGAATGCTGAACATCCGACGACAGTCAGTCTCATTGGCCGTGATTTCCACAATCCTAACAATAACTACGCCGATAGCGACAGATATGATTTGGGGCCCGATGTCAGCCTGCTCATCAAAGGCGTTGAACCAGGTGACGAAGGTCAGTATATTTGCCAAGTCATACCTGCAGAGACGAGACACAGAGATGAGGAGGTAGATCTTCTTGTTGTTGGTGAGACTTTTAAATATCCACAATACTATTTTCAAAACAGTAAATTTCACTAGCTAAGGGGAGAATCAAATTTTAATTTATTTCCGTGAAAAAGTGGGAAGTAGGAAAAGGAGAGTAAAATCGAAACCCACTTTTCATTAAAATTACTGTACTTACTTTTTCATTCCATGTCAAGTCACACACTCTCCCCAGTGACACCTCTTCAATTTGCCTGATTTTAATTCTGTTGGTGCCATATGAGGTCAAATGAAAGAATCCCAAGTTTAGTGGGCCTCCTAGCTCAAACGGTTTACAAGTTATGGACCTTCAAAGTTTGGGTTCCACGTCCACTTTTGGGATCTGGGAATTGCACACTAAATTTTGGACCATATTTGCAATTTGTGTGACATAATCTTCTTGATGGGGTTCAGTGCAACTGGTGCAGTTTAGGAGAAGAAACTTGAATTGAGAAAGGAACATAAAAGTCTTGTACTACTAACATTTTGGGGGGTTCGTGTGTTTCAGGTGACACCTTCCCACCTAGCAGTGGAGAATCATCTACCACCAGTTTCTTGCAAGGACGCAGACAGACGCTACCGTGTCAGTGCGCGTCACATCCCAACGCATCATCTGTAGTGTACTGGTCAATGGGAGAGGGCATCACTACAGATACAGAGATCATTGGTGCACGTTTCTCTGATGGCGCCACCCTGCAGATTCAACATGGCGCCGATTACAGCATTGGTAGCGACGCTTCACTTACAGTCAACTCCCTGAATGATGTACATGATAACCAGCGATTCTGGTGTCATGTATTCCAGTCAAATGAGACTCTAAAAAATTGCTACACTGATGTTGAGAAAACAGGTAACGCTTATCAGGCTACAAAAATTATAGGTGTAAATCAATACGATTTACCAAAGTGATACATAACGTTATATCCTGAGTTCTTAAAACTTACAGTTGCTGCAGATGTGAGACGTCCTACTGATGATGCTCTAGAGGCTTCCGAAAAGGCATTCTACCTGCAAAAAGGACGACGGCAGGTTCTCCCTTGCACGAACTGGACACCGGGCACAGCAACCTGTGCAGTTCAGTGGCTGAAGATTGACACCACATACCAGGCTATCCTCAATTACACCTTGTCGACCAATCGGGTGGAAGTGGTCACAGGTTACAAACTGGCCAGTAATTTCGGTCTCGATATCGCCTCAGCCAATGATTCTCATGCTGGGAGGTACCAGTGCATCTCTGCAAATTCCAACAAGGTTGAGGAAATCCAAGTTCGTGTGACAGGTCAGTGCTTTAGGGCTCTTTGGTGGTTTCAAATTTTGGACAGTTCTATAACTACACTTCGTTACTGTATCTATTTTGTCGTCCAGACTTTCCTGAAAAAAGACAATAGAAAGTACACATAGACGTTCAGAAGCGCGAATTAGTGTTTCATGTGACTGAAATACAGTTGCTTTACGTTAACAGATGAACTAAAAGGCCCTTCTAGGAGATGATGAGATAAATGGAGTTTACATACCCCAAAACACTTCCCGAAAGAATGTCTTGACCATCAGTAGGGTGCTACATTATTTCAAGTCTCCACAATGTATTCATTGAGTTATTCTCTCAATTTTAGGAGACAGATTTCCACTCGATGGCGGGAGAGCTACTGCTGGTGAAGCCGTGTACTTTGAATCCGACAGAAAACTGACACTAACGTGCCCTGCCGATTTCAAAATCTCCTGGACAACCGAAGCCCTTATTATCTGGTCGTACGGAAAACCCACGGAGGAGAACACTGCTGTCATTGGCCAGCTGAGTCTACCAGATGGCACCAAGACACTGTCTGATTTGAAAGACAAAGGCTGCCTCGGCATTACCTCTGAGGGGTCCCTCATTCTGAATAATTGCTCTCAAGATGGTGACGTCAGATACTGGTGTCATGTCTTCCAATATAAAGAGGGGGTTATCAGAGCATATGTGGATTCGAGGATTAAAGGTATGCTTAAAATGTGATTACGATCACTGAAGATCAGACCCCCAATAAAATGGCGGGGAAGGAAATACTGGCTAAGATGTCCCATTTACTGGCATAGTGACGTTTCAAAAAATCTATTTCTTGAGGTGACCTTGGAAATCATAATTGTACTATCCAGAAAATTAGCTAACATGATATTGATAGTAATGAAGGGTGATTAAACGCAGGAACCAAAAAAGTAGACCCAGACTTCAAATTTCTCCGATATGATACAACAATACGCGTATTTCTAATGATCTTTTTCAGACACTGAAGTTTCTGACAGGAATCCTGGGTCACCCTACATTATCCCAGTCGTTATTGGAGTTTGTGTGTTCGTCATTGCTCATGCTCTGTTGATTTTCGTGCTGGTAGTCCGGAAACGATGGAAACAGTCTGCAAAGTACAAAAGGGCGAAGCAAGGTGAGGCAGTACCATTTCAAAATCTTACGTTTAGATTGCTTTTCAAGAATAGATCGGTTTTTCTTCCCTTCTTCAATATTGAACACATTAAAAGGTAGAAATAAAAATTCAGTACTCATCGTATGTGAAACTAGCTCATTTTGTTTAAATATACTTCGAAAATAAAGTCTGTAAAGAAAGTATCGATAACGCGATATTGCTTTTAATTAGGCAGTTGGTTAAGATATTTGGACTGTTCTTTGACACCAGAGTCTCCAAATTATTTGATATTTGAAAACTTTTGAAATCAACCGGACTTAACTATGTCACAAAGCAAGTACCTCTTCTTTACAGCATTATTGTAAAAGGCGGAATTAGAAAATCAATGGGCCTAGTGAGTACCTCCTCAAAGCCCTTGGGCTAATCCTGGAAATTATCATAAAATGCAGTTCCATCATCTTAGTAGAAAAAGGTAACCCTCGTAATGTACTCAGAGTTAATTAAACCATAAGGATCTCAGTGATTTGAAATTACTTTTTTCACTGCAGAGCCCGTGAGACATTACGATGTGTCAAAGATTGCTGAAAGAATTAAAACTTTTGTGAAGAAGACATTTGGCCGAGTTCCCATTACACCCCGCACTGCTCAGACTGACGGAGACAAAGCCCCGATGGATAAGGTGTACATCCCCACAGAGATGTTCGTCAACGTGCCGTTTGCAGATGGTTGTGTAAGATGTAAGTTACTCTCAGAATCACAACTACTCGATGATGGGATCTCAGAACTGGCCAATAGGCATGTTCTTATTAGTGGTAAATCAGGCTGTGGTAAAACTACCATCTTGGGTAGAGTGATTTACGATTGGTCTTTGGGCAGAAAGGATACATTGCTGGCTGAGAAAAAGTTAGTCTTTCTGCTACCAGCCGGGCTCTTAACTCAAACCAGAAATCTTGGCCAAGCAGTTGTTCAACACATGCTACCTTCACACCCCGCCACATTGGCAACGTTCATTAATGAGTACTGTTCAAACAATCCCAGTGACGTTGCCATATTAGTTGATGGTTGCAATGGCAAGCAGGATATAGCAACTGTAATGAGGATATCGGAAGACCAAGGTCTTCTTGAATGTCACTTGATCATGACCACAAGAAATGCAAAAATTGCTCAAGATGCGTGCAAACAATATAACATGCGCTCTATCACAATCTCTGGCTTTGCACCAGACAATGTTTGTAAGTACGTTGAAAACATTATTCATATCATACGTGATAAATCGAATAACAGAAACACAAAACAAAGAGACACAACTATCGATATCGATGACTCACATCCAAGCACTTCGTTAGACTCTCTGCATGAAATAACAGGGGAGGAAAAGGCTGAAATCTCCCCAACGCTTCAACTTTCCCCTGATGAGTCTTACAAAAAAAGGCAGGGTGAAACTCCAACAAGGACTACAAGCGCAATACACAGTGGATCAATTATTGAAAGCTCAAGCACAGTTTCAAAAGATATGCCAAAAGCAATAAGCACGGAAAAGGACAGAATTTCACCTAATTATAATCTTGGGAAGTATTTAGAGGAGGGTATTTTACCACCTGAGGTTGTTTGTCTACCGGGTAATTTAGCGGCTCTTTGTCAATTATGTGTGTGGACGAACGGGGGCGCCTTTCACTCTGCGAATACCATGAGTGATATTTTCTACGAATTGGTGAAATGCCTATTTGAAAGGGGTAAAGTAACAAATGGTGACAAGTCAGTGAAAAACAACGAGTCAATGGGAAGAAAAGAGGACGAGGAAGCTTCCATTGGCATTGGATCTCGTCTTGAAACTCTGACAAAAAGGCAGCTTCACATAGTAACAGAACTTGGCAAGGTGGTTCAATCTAAGATCGCTGAACACTATGAAGGTCCGTTGGCATTATCAGAGTCGGATTTCCTCAACACTGACCAGGGAAATAGCGTTCTGGAAGCTGCAATCGAAATGGGCATGCTGTGTCATGTAGAAGATAGGAACTGGAACTTTGACATGAATGCCATGAAGGTGGATTCAGACTCAGAGTATCCGAAACAGGTGTCAAAATCGAGCAAAATTCGATCATTCCTCAGTAGGAAACAGCGCGTTCTGAATGAGCCGGAGATACCACTCATTAAATGTGACAGAAAAGTGCACTTCATCCTTGAGATACTTGAACACTTCTGCGTTGGTGTGTACATGGCTCACTCGACTGAAGGCGTAGGCAAATGGTTGGAAGACGTTTCACGTGTTATTGGAATAGAAGACAGTCTCGACAAGATTTCTAGTTTCATTAACTTTGCCTGTCGGGAGGGCAAGCCTGGTGATCGATCTGCTGTGTTTGAACAACTTGTCAAAATTGTGAATACAGGACGAAAAAAGTCAAGCCTCCTAGAAGACGTGCACCTTGTCCAAAAATGCCAGGAGTTATGTATGCAGCTACACTTTGATTGTAAACTCTTGGGATCTATGAACAAAATGCTGAATGAGCTTTTCCCGTTGGGCACAGTCCGTTTACTTGGAATTTCTAGACGCAAAATTAGGCTTCTAACGTACCTTCTCAAACATGCACAGAACACCGGAGATGGTTCTGCCCTAAATGTGAAAACGATTGAATTGTTTCGCATCGTTCGTACTGAATGGCCAGGATTTCGAGAAATTTTAGGTCTGATGGCAACTGGAAAAGATGGGAAGACATCGCAGATTGAAGCAGGAGAACCGAATAAAGAAGCAGACCAAATTGTCACCTTTGCAAATCCACAGCATACAGTAGCAGGAACCGAACAGGAAGGAAGAATCCCACCTGCCGGTATCCCTGAGGTGATTATTAAGCCATCATCACAAGAAGAACTGAAACACAATTTAGAACAACCAGATTCCACCAAGGAAGCTGATGACCCTGTGACCAGAATGACACCTGAAGAGGAAAAAACCCAAAGTAAAAGCTACAAATCAGAAGAAGCCCATTTGGAACCACTTGTCAATTATTACAAACGCGATACCCTGAAGAGATTACGAGAAAAGGTAGAATCCAGCAGCCAGGATATGCCTGTGTTTCCTTCTCACCAGTCAGATATCAGTGTCCTTCAAACCGTGCAGTCTATGGGTCTACAGGAGCTAGCTGAATCACAGTTTGGTGAATGTCACTCATCTGACGCAGTAAAGGATTTGGTTCGCTGCTTGCCAGATGTGACGATGCTAGAAAGTCTCGTTCTTGTTGGAACGATTCTGAGTTCAGAAAATATCTGTTTCCTGGCAAGGAATCTGGGCAGACTCCCGAAGTTGCAGACATTTGATCTTCGTCTGAATAAGCTTTTTGACGACTGTGCCTTCGAAGCACTAACCGACTCACTCCATGCTTCCAAGCAGTTGAAGGACTTGAGACTTTCTTTATACAAGGTCTCCATTGAAGGGTTCAACAACGTCAAGAAAAAAATGGAGATAGGTGGGGGACCGGCGTGGGAAAGACTGAAGACGCTGTATCTGCTACACGCCTCCCATGCAGAAACATTTGTGGAATTCTTTTCCAACAGCGTGAAATATCTTCGAGATATTGAATCAATTCACATCTCAGTCTCTTCCCCAGGATACATACTGTCAGACCGTGTAGTCCTAGAGACAAAACAGAACTTGGAAAATCAGGAGTATGTGACTCACCTGGAAAGCGTTGACATTGATAACATTGAGAAACTGAAATTTCAGTTGGCTTCGTTAAAACTCCCCAAGGCGAAAAGAAAAAAAGAAGCATGGTATTCTTCAAACCACTGACATCGGAGGAAATATTGGGCAGGTTGCTAAGAATATTCCAAGCACTGCGGACATCAAGGGATCAGGAAAGGGAGCTTTAGTTGGGGCCAAAGTTGTTGGTAAAGTGTTCGGAAAACCAGGAAAAATTATTGGAGCCGCAGCGGGGGCAGTGGTAGGCTCCGTGTTAAAATGACGACGCAGTGTCTACATCATTCTTTGCATTGACTTATTTTTACTTTAAATTATACGCCAAAGGATCATGCTGCACAAAACGTGAAAAGGGCCATGTAATAAACTACATCACTAAAATCCTTGAAATTGATCCTTGAGTTTCAATTAACTGTAAGTTCAGTTTTGCTTTGCTACTTTTATCTGTATTTTGAGCCTTCTTGTTTTTGTGAGCTAATATGAACTAACACATTCATTACCAAAACCGTGATGGAATCCAAGGCGCTGAACCTTAAAATGTTGCATAGGATAGTGTACGTTGCTCGATTTCTCTGCAGCGCTATCGAAGATTTCCATTTTCTCTGGCAATTTATGTTGTTAACGTTTATTGAAATAAGTGAGTGAGAAAGCGTTTCTTTGGAATGTTATCGAAGAAGCAATGTTGGGATTCTAAAATTGAACGTGAAAACGGGCGGACTCAAGAGCGTCCTCCCTGATTTACATCACACTAAGGCGACTTAAAATCGTAGTCAGTTTGTGCATTTTTTAAAGAGACATTCAAGAAGTTCCATTATTCAAAATGTACAATCCAAGAATATTTCATCCATTTACAATTCAC